ATCCCCTCCCCTCCTCTCCCCTCCCCTCCTCTCCTTTCCTTTCCTATTTCATCTTTCTGTACTTGGAGTTCACAACATTCCAACCTTTTCACCAAGTATTGTGGTGTTGCATCTAGAACTTTTGGGAGAAAACCATTCTATTTTTATTAGTGTCTATTCATTGTACCAAACGGCAGGCTTTGCTATGACACATGGAAATGTATGCATCATACATTTTGCTTTTATTCCTCCTTGTTACTCTTTCTGCCCAGCTCCCACTGATCATCTCTCTCTCCCCCAAGTAGTCTTCTGTCTGTTTTCAAGTATTTTTGATGTATTTTTTTTCAGTCTTGATTCCACATATGAGACAGGCAATAGACATTTCTCCATCTGGCTTATTTTGCTTGATCTTCTGTTCCATCCATTTCCCTGCAAAAATAAAAAAGGGAAAATTTCATCCTCTGCATATCTGAATAAAGCTCCATTGTGTGCCTGTGCCATGTCTTCTTTATCTATCCATCTTCTGATGGAGAACGAGGCTGAGCTGGCTGTTGCAAACAGTACCGTGTAAACAGAGATGGGCACTTGTCTCTGTAGTATGCTGACGTAAGACCCAGGAATGGCAATGGTAAATGGTCATGCGGTACACCTAACTTTTGGATCTTGGAGGAATCGTCACACTGATCTCCACAGGTGCTGCACACGCACAGGTTTGCACTCCCAACAGCAGTGTGTAAGCCCCACCCCCAACGCCACCCACACAAGGACTTGTTTCCTTGATGATACCTTGTACTGGTTAGGTTTTGTTGCCAACTTGACATAAGCTGGAATGGATTGGAAAAATGGCCTGAGAGCATGTTTGTGGGGCGTTGACTTGATTGTTAATTGATGTAGGAGGGCCCAGCCCACTGTGGGTGGTGCCATCCCGAAGCAGAAAGCCAGTTGAGCAGAAAGCAGTGGGTGAAGCAGCAGGCAGGGCTCCTCCAGGGTAACTGCTTCTATGCCTGCCCTGACTTCCATCAGTAATGTATTGCGACCTAGGAGAAGAAGCCAAATAAACCCTACTCTACATTGATTCTGTCGCTGAGTGGCTCACCACAGCCACAAAAAAAGAAAAAGAAAAAAAAAAAAGCAAGTTAGAACACAGCCATTCCTCATGGGGTGATAGGGAATCTCAACATAATTCTGACTTGGATTTCCCAGACGACTAAAGATGTTAAACTTTTTTTTTCATACACTAATCGACCATTTGTAAGTACTGCTTTTGAAAACTGCCTGCTCAATTCATTACTGGGATATTTGGATGATTTGTCTTTTGGTGTTTAATTTTCCTAGTTCCTTAGATGCTCTTGATATTAATCCCCTGTCAGATGAATAGCTACCAATGATTTCCCCCCACCCTGTGGGCTGACTTTTCACCCTGGTAATTGTTTCTTGGACTGTGCCAAAGCTTTTTAATTTCATGCAATCCCATTTGTCAGTTTTCGCAGTTGTTTCCTGAGCTGTTAGAGTCCATTTCAGAAAGTCCTTGTGTCTGCTGTGTGAACGCGGATTCCTGGAAAGAGGCTGTGTCTACAAAGGCTGATTAATTGGCTAGAACTTCAGCCACGTGGAGAGGATGGAATGTTAGGGACCCATAGCCTAATTACACTTTATCTTGGGCTATCTTTAGTCTATGGGATAGCTGTGCCTTGCCCCCTCTGTGTCAGAACAAATATCCCATCACTAACAGATAAAGACAAATCAAATATCCTAACAGATTTAAGAAAAACGTTATGAATGTGTTAACTTACCAAAACCCTAGTTTTCCACCAATCAATGGGATGGGTGTTATCGGATAGCATCTAAGGCCTAAAGCAGAGCTCGGTCTTGCTTTAGTCCACCTGCAGGCTGTCCCCACCAACCTATTTGGGTTTTACTTTGTTCTGTCGCTATAAAAAGTTCATGAAAATGTCACCTTATTGGGACACGAAATTTTGAATAACCTAAATGTATGTTCCAGAGCCGTGGTCAATCATACTTGGCTCTAGAATAAACTATCTCTTATCCTCTTTGAGATGAGATCTCTGGTTTTTATGTCAATACCCATATCCTCTATTGTTTTTTCTTCTAGCAGTTGCAGATTTTCAGGTCTTCCATGAAGGTCTTTGACCCACCATGAATTGATTTTTTATACACAGTGAGAGACAGTGATCTAGTTTAAGATTTCCTCGTGTGGACGACTTGCTTTGCCCAACGCCACCGTGGAAAAGCCATCACGTCCTCAGCATAGGTTCCTGGCATGTTTGTT